ATTGCATTTCTTGGCTTTTCATCTCCAAGGATAAACTTATCTCCTTGATTTCTTCCTCTTCCACCTTTCCCTTGAGACCTGCTATCAGCAATCTTTCTTTTTTTTAATAAAAGAATCTGATTTCTTCCAGATTCTGTATATGCATGGATATTGAATTACTTACAGAAATTGTTAGACAAGGAGAACATGCTTCCTGTGTCCTCACCCATGGTTAACAGAGGTCATCACATCCTCGTCCTCGATAATCCATTCTGTTTGGCCCTCTAATGTTTAACATCTGCCATCAGAGAGTTCTCCCACAAACACATCGCAGAGTACCAAAGGAGTGTAAAAACTGGAGGACCATCATAGAGGATCTATGTCCCACCCTGATTTCTTTGATTCTGAAGCTACATTCGTATTGCATGACTGGTTTAAAATGTCAGAAGTTACATACATACACACAGGCACATACCTATACAACACAGATATGTATGTATATACACACAAATGTGCGTATTATTTCTTAACCAAATTTATCATGAGTCCATGGGCAGATATCAAGGACTATGTGAGAAATTACCTGGAGAGGGAAAACAGTGGCACTGCTTCCAGAGTTTATCTCCTTCCCATCCTCTGCATCAACCCCTTGTGGCTTTAGCAATTGAAATCTCAGTTAAAACTTTCTGACTTAGATTTAGTGATAACGGATGGGGTAGAATTTAGTCATTTTTTTCCATTTGTGTTTGATTCTTCTTGACTCCTCGTTCTTGCCTTTTTTTTTATGGCATTTCTTTATTATATTTCTACAACTATAGTTCCATTTTAATGAAGCTGTTTATTCTATTCATAGGAACGAGTGAAGTCTGTATTCCATGCCAAAGAGTTTGGAAAAATAATTAACTTCAAGACCCCAGAGGATGCTAGGGTAAATATAATGAATCTTTTATTTAAACAGATAGCAGCTTCTCATTTTAAAGCCATGTGTGTTGGACTATTCTTTAAGGCAAATAAGTTGTGTTTGTTTTTATTTTTGTGTTTTGACAGTTTTAGTATGCATAAGTAGATACTATTTCTCCAGAACTATTGTTCATTAGATTGAATTCAACAAACCTACTTGTTTTTGAAATCAAATTGCTCTTATTTTAAATCCTATAATACTTTGCCAAAAAAAAAGACAACAAACAAAAGAAATAATTTCACTCTAATGCTAATCTACCAGCTCCAGTAACAAAAGTATAATAACCTCACATTGTTGATTTCTCTACTGTATAGCTATAATGATTTTTTAAAAATTACTGTAGCCTGGCACAAGGGAAAAAAGAGCCAAGCCCATAGTCAGAAAATTTGGATATAAGTACTGATTCAGATCCTTCTTGACTGTAGGACTTAGGGGAAGTCCGTTAACCTTGGTTTCCTCAAAATGTGAATGATGTGAACTGAAATGCATTATACATACTCCAGGGATTACTGCAGTTATAACAATGTGCACTGTCAAGAAAAGGAAGACTGAGTTCATTATCTCCTTCAGTGGTCACAACTAAGACGCTGTTCCTGACACTGAATCGTACTCACTATGTTGTGAAACTTATAATAAGAACACATGGCTTCTTTACTGAACCTCTCTGTTTGTCCTGGCTGGATGTGACTACCAGTTCACTTCTCACTTTTGGATTTCAGACCAGGAACCTCTCCCACCCAAGCACATACACCTTGAACCATTTAGCATGTGCTGTGTAATTTTGTACCTAGACATTGTGATACAAGGTAACACTCACATACTAACAGTAGAAAACTGAAAGGGGGACAAGTTACAAAGAAAGAGGAACAAAGTGACTAGAGCCTCGATACGCATGTTTCCTGGAACAAGGAGACAGTGGCGCATGATAATAGCGTGACTTTCCGGCCGTCGTCTTCGTGTTGCTGAAGGACGTCACCACCTAGTTCAGTTTCTCGGTAGCAAGTTTTCCATTTAATCTCTGTCACCATGTTACTTTATCCTAGAAGGTTTATTTTGAATCCTCCTGCTCTGCCAAAAACATTCAGAAAAGGTTAGTGAGCCCAGTTCTCTTTCTCTAATCTTAAAGCTGTCCCCACTAGGTTCTTCTTTAGGCAAAGAGCACAGATAGCTCTGCATAAGCCTTTCATAATGGGATAAGCCCAGTATCTCCTCCGTGGCTTCTATCTGTCATACAGGCCTAATGATAATAGACGTTATTGGCAGAAAGGTTTGCATTTCATTTGCGTTTTATTCTTTCAAAATAGAAAAATATATCAGGAAAGCACCTAAAATGTTCAAGAATGTTGCTATGCTACTACCCACGGTAGATTGTATGTAATTATTCCTACTCAATCAGTAGAACGCTATATATGGAATCATGAAGGTTTGTGATAAAGGAGTGGCATAGGTCGGAAGGAATTCTGCGTGGATACTTTCCACACTATGCCAGGGTTATTCAATCCAGCTGTCAAATTACCCTTCTCTCTCAGGATGGTTTATTTTGCTTTTCTTATTCTGAAGATGAACACCTAGGTCCAGAGATCTTAGAAAAACATTATCCCTACTATTAAATGCAGTGCCATTGTCCCTGAGATGTCTAGACCATTTGAGTGAGTGAATGACCTCTTCTGCAGAGTGAATTTAATTTTTGGCGATATGAGTATACTCCTAACTAAACTGGAAAGACAACTTCTAGATTTTCATTCATTACATTTTGAGCTTCATTGCAAGTTTACTGAAGTTAAGTAAATGTTGCTTTATTTCCCCATGACAGTGGATCCTCAGAAAGCTAGAAGAAGCAAGGGAACCTTCCCCGAGCCTCTGACGGAGACCACTGCCTGAAGATACACAGCAATAAATAATTACAGTTTCTACCTTATACCTTCCAAAACCTGTTCGGGAAGTATAGAACAGAAGTAATTTCAAGTACTTTTTAAAAAATCAGTTAGAATCAGGTAAAACAGCTATGTGATTAAACTATTTCAGCTCTTTGGGAATTCATTTGGTTTTCTAATTTGAATCATGCATCTGGTTAAAATTCTAATTACTTTTAAAAGAAACATTTCTTTTATGAATCTCAAATATTGGCTCCAGGTGATTCTCTGCAGTGGTGGAGAAATTACCCATATTTAGCCTAAATTTAATGGAGCTAAATTTAATGTTCTTAGTTCACATTTTAAACTTCTATCATGCTTACTTCAAACTCTCTGAGTGATAGGTAAATGATCAAACATTGCCTCAGTGGTATCAAGGTAACTTTGGTGGTGGTTTCTTTGGAAACATAGAAGTTCCTTTTATAGATAAATATTTTGGTATTATTTTCCTTATTTTTTTAAATAAAAGATAGGTTTGAATTATATTTGAAGTACATAGCATGACTATAAAAAATAATCTTTCTTCATTTTATATAATAGAGATTCACTAATACCTCTTCAAGCCTCATCTTAAGGCTTGAAGGAATGAATGTCATACCCAAGAAGGGAAAGTCCCTCTCAGAACTTTAAAGCCTTAGAAATACTACTTCAAGCCAACTTCATGAGATCCACTTGGTTTACAGTCGTGTTTTTAATAGATTGCTGACCTTAAAGGAAAATTCCTGAAGCCTTAACAATACCAACTTCCTCTTCACTGGTGGTATGAAATAAGCAATTCCCGCCATCTTAATTCGCGCTATGCTTCAGAACAGACAGCCCCTCTCTATACGCACGTGGGGTAAATGAATGTACCCTAAAGTCTAACCCATAACCTGTCCTGTTGGCAATAGATTGAGAACTTCTGGTTTGCTTTATCTGTAATTAGATATTATCATTATATCTGTCTTAAATGTATAGCTCATCAGAACAAAAATCGTGGGCTACACATTAGTGAAAATAAGGTCATGAGGGTTTTTTTCCTTGGTTTTTGTCCAAGATCGTTGTACCTTGATATTAATGGACTTTTTCAAGTGAAGGGGAATGACTACATGATTGTGAACCATGAAGAAAATGATGCAGTGTCGTATTTAGTTATTGAATAATAGAGTATTTGATGCATGTTGTACGTGCTACCAAATTACTATAAACTGTTTTTAGAATTGATGACTCTGTGTAAGTTAATGGTTGTGAAATTCTCCTGAGAGTCCTCAAACCCTTGCTTTGTTTTAAAAGCTAAAATAAACAGCATGCCAGTCTGTAATTGCATTTCTTCCTGACCAAATCTTGCCACTAAATAGTATAGATTTTCCTCTAATTATAAAAACACATTGTTTATTAATAAGTTTCTTTCAGAATGTTTTTTTCTTTGCTGAATCTAAATTTAATCAGGAGGTGACAAATTTGAAGTCTCATGATAGTGCATGCCACCATGATGACCTTTGTTCAGAGTAGTATACACATTTTCTCTGTGGCCGAGCTCGTCTAATTTTGCATACATTAGAATTAAACCTAAGAGTAGAGGTTGTCAGAAAACTGTAATCAGATTATCCTCATCTGAAATGTTGCCTTCCTAGAGTTCTAGTCATTGCCATTAGCCAAGTACCTCATTGCCTACCCCAGTTTTATGACTTTTTTTCTCAAAAAAAAAAAAAATACAGAGCCATAACTCTTTGGGTATCCCACAGTAAAAGGGAAGAGCCTGAGTGTGAAGATAGAAATTCTTTTGGCGTCCTCTGAGCCCTGCAGGAGTGGGTCTTGTACCTAGTACCCAGGCAGAGCCACTGTGCCTGTCCTCCTGTTCCCTTACCAGTAAGAACCTAGAAATACCTTCCCTTATCCGTTCTCTACCAGTCATCTCCCCACTAACACCTCCCATCAATTCCTGTTTCTAGAGTAGAAAGACCCACAATTTCAAGAGCAGGAGTTTGTCAGTTATCTTAGAGGATTTTCTTCATTTTAAAGAACATCAGGTTACTAGATAATGAGTCAGTCTTTTAAGTATGACATTTTATAATTTATAGTTATGTGTTTGATTTTGTAGTCTTTTTTTCTTTTCTTTTAATCTTTTTGGGGGGGTAATTAGCTTTTATTTACTTATTTAGTTTTAGAGAAGGTACTGGGGATTGAACCCAGGACCTTGTGCTTCCTAAGCATGCACTCTACCACTTGAGCTATACCCTCTCCCTAGTCTTTTTTTCTTGAATATTACAGAGTCCATAATCTTAAGATATTTAAAAATAATCTAGCTGGAATTAATATTTAAGTACTTTTAATGGCACCCTGCTTGAGAACTTTAAGCTTGTCTTCATTGTTTGGTGGTTTCTGTGGGATCACGTCCTGAGTATTCTGTCCCTTATCTCTTTGCAGTATGTGTTAGCTGTAGCCCTGTGCCCTTCATCCTAGCACAGCATACATCCTGACCTGTGATTACGATGTGATGCTGAAGGCAGAGTGTCTGTTCCCTGCCAGCTCTCCTCCAGAAAACTATGATCACTAGACGTAGCAACTTTGGCTTCTTATACAAAATGAAGTTTGTGATTTCTTCACACTTACAAAATACTCTCCGAATCAAAGGGAATGTGCACTTACTTCTCCAGTGGCTTCCCTATTACTATATATATATATGTTGGCTGCCTCTTCCCTAGTGTTAGCAAGACCTTGGGATTTTCCCCAGGCTTATTTGAGTACAGCTGAGTTTTTTTCTGGTCCCTGAATAATCATTACTAGTTGTAATCATTCCTAGTCCTTCCCTGGCCCAGTCTTCTCCATAATTCTAGTCTGTTTCAGAACTGTCCTGTGGCCTTCAAATAAGAAAATTTTCTTAAAACTTATAGTATCATTTCTATCATAATTATCTCTCTCATTTTTTTCCAATGGTAGTAGCAGTAATATTACCCCAGTGAATATATATGCACCGAGCTCATCTCTCAGAAATATCCTGCAAAGTAGTATCCTATTCTTGTCTGGTAACGAATAAACACTCTGCTCAGTGCTGAATTTTCTGAATCTTAGTCATCAGTTACCAGTTTTAATTGATACTTCAGGCCAAGCTAAGGCCCCTGTATTAAAAAGATTGGGACAAGGTACAGAGTTAGTTTGCCTGTAGCAACCGAAAGTGTGTGCCAAATACACTGAAGGTGGAAGTAGCTGTTTGGAAATGGGTGTTTTCATGCCTCCGCCATCACAAGTCAGAGAAATCTGTTTGGCATCCCAGGGCCATTGCTTTTTACCTTTTCTCAAGATCAGCCAGAATCCTCAAGGACGTTGTTTTCAAACTGTAGGTTTTAACCCGTTAGAGGGCCATGACATCGGTTCAAGACCAGCATATTTTTAAAATGGAATAGGAAACAAGAAAGCATTGCATGTAACAAGGTTGAATATTGGTTGTTTGAAATATTGTTTGTTAAATACTCTATATACTGTGTATACTGGGTCACAATATAAAATGTTACTTCTTATTGTGAATTGTAGTTTAGTGGGGAGCGAGGGATACTTTGAAAGCCAGTGTTGGAGAAGGCATGTACCAGCCAGTGATTGTTGGAACAGTCTGGATGGTGTTAAGCCTTACCTTAACTTAGAAAGGAGCAGCAAATCCACAGCTCAGGGAGCCTTTAGACTGTGAGCACTTTTTCTTTTGAGTGAAAAGATAGAATAGCTCTTGTTTTGGAAATGTTTTCCTTTCCTAGTGTGTATCAGATACACTTACATGCCTGTATATTTGCCCCACTAGATAGCAGTGGTCTAGAATAAAACACAGAAAATGTTATCTCCACAGACAGCACCCCCAGAAGACCATAGGATATCATTTAACTGAATGTATTTCAACTCTCTCCCTCTAAGCATTTTACTAAGATTGGGAACCGAAGTTCTCCTTTTAAGTAAATTGCATTGTTCATCTACCTTCTGTCTGATTCACCTTACAGGTGGCCAGAGGCCCTTAAAAATGGGGAGCTTACACACAATTTTTTAGGGCCAAAATACTCATTCTTTGGAAGGTGCTAAACAAATGCCAATGCTGTTTAGCTGAAAATAATTTGATTTCCTAATTTCTGTAAGATTCAGGTAGAAAATACAGGTAGCCTGCATTCTTTCTGCAAGATTCAATGCAAAACGTATTCAGTCTGGTTTTCCTTGGTGCTGTCCAGTTTCACTGATAGCTCCTTTGCATACTCTAAACAAGGACCATCTACTCTCCTACCCAATTCTTTGAAATATACTTTTGAGATTATACCTTACTGCTAATGTTATACCTGATCAAGACAGCATTGATTGGTAAAAAATTTTAGGATTCTTTTAATTTGTATTTTTAATCATTGCCCTTACAGCTATCAGGGCAGACTTTTTCTTATACTTCTTTGCTTTCTGCCACAATTGGTGTAGAGTAGAACTTGCTACGGGGCTATCCTAAAGGGCCAGCACAAGGATTGAGAAGACGCTGGATCCTACTCTGTTATAGACCTCTTTCATGTTTCTTTAATTGAACCCGTTTTTGCTTTATTTCTTTTGTAAAATAAATTGTTCCATGTCATATTTTTTAAAGTTTTACTTTAGAATTACAGGTCAGTTCTTTTTTAAAAGCATTATGGTATTTTCCAAAAAATTGATAATTTTGGTTACGCAATGAGCTATGTAAGATACGTAACTTCAGATTTTATAGGTTGATATGAGTGTATCTTTAAAGTTTTTATTTATACAAATATAAATTCGTCTGTGTTATAGTTGAGCACCTACTATATAGATGCACTATATAGAGCACCTACAGATATAGATATCTGTCAACCTGAAAATCCATGTCACTGAGCACCATTCACATTCATTTGGTATTGCTCTGATACCTTAATAATGATACCTTGTAACAAGCAACCCTGTGAGAGTAATATAATAATAAGTCTAATGACCCCAAGTGTGCTTAAAATAGATCATGTTTGAAAACCCCCAGCATTTCTTCTTAGGCCACCATACCACCAGCATTCCATTGGCTACCCAAAAGTTCCCAGTTTGGGAGCTGAAAAACATGCAAGTAAAAATGTAGACTACGTTGAAATGTTCTCGATGTCAAGTGATTTTATACCCACTCAGACCATTAGATTGGATCTGGGGCTTGTTACAAGATCAGATTGTTGTAGACTTTTTTAAATGATCATCTCTGTGTGTGATTATGTGTATTACATATAAAAATGAATGTTTCAGGGAATGTGCACTTTAAAAATATTTTCCTTACTAATGTTTGTATTGACTAAAAATTCTGTACTTCTTTGGAATGCTTATTCTTTAGTAAAAATATGGTTGTTGATGGTGATATTTTTTTAAATGTCTATTTCTGCATCACTGCATTATGTCCTTCATTTTTGTGTTCCTTATACTTACGTGGGCTCCTGACCCAGTCTCCTGTTATACAGTCTCTGACTTGGTTTTATGGATTCTGATAAGATAATTTATAAACACAAGCATTTACATAGTGAGGTTCTTCCTCTTGAAATTAACCTTAGTCTTTTTCTCCCCTGAAAATTGGTTGGCTATGCTTACCAATGACTTTTTTTCCAAATAAGAATTTCTTACTATTGGTAGAATTGGATTGCTTGGTCAGATGACTGCGCAGCTTAACTATGTGTAACTTTTTCAAATAAACTGAGTCAAATAAAGATTTCTGATCTTTAGCCTGCCTGTGTTTTTACTTATTGGATAGAACTAGAAACGTTGCCCATAAGCCTTCTGTTGCCTATGTCAACTCTGCCCTCTTGAGGCCTGAATAAATGTGGATAACCAACATTGCCAAGGTTCTGATTTTGCAGTCAGAGCTGCCAGCAGTCAAGCACAGCATGATCAGCGCTGACCGAGAGCTTGAGTGGTAATACCTGGTAAATTCTTGAGCACCGAGACTGTGCCTCTCAGCCTCAGAAGACTTCGAGTGGCTCATTCCCAAGGTAAGTAATGAGTATATTTTGAAAGAAGCGCTAGAAGAGAATCTTCTACTGCAGCATTATTATCGGCGGAGATAAGTAATTCAGCTCTAATACAGAGCATTCAGCCTTTCTATGACTTAAGAAAATAATATATTACTACCTTTTGTTAATGATTTTCTCCAACAGCACTCTGCAATTAGAAGTGATTGAAAGCCATCGTTTTCTTATCTGCTTTGTCAGCCAAAGGTAAAAATAACAATAACTCAATGCTAGCAAGTGAAGAAACGAAATTTCTCAGTGTTTAATTCCCTGGTTACTGGCTGTCTTGAGCCCTGTTCACTTGTTCATCGGATGATCACAGAAGCTGTTCGTGATCTTTACAGCACGGTGCCCACCCCCTACCCTTACTCTCTGGGTTGTTTTGCTTTTTTATTTGTTCTGTTTCTAGATGACCTTGAGAGCTACTTCTCCATTCTTTGTCCTTTTGTACAAAATTGTCTTGGCTATTGCTGAACATTTACTGTTCCAGGTAAAATTTAACATCAGTTTGTGAAGTTCCACAAGAACTGTTTCTTTTGCATTCATTTTTTGAGTGAACGTTAGCTTTTGAAATTTAATGTTGCTATGGTAGAATCACGATCTTATTATGAGCGTAATTCCTGTCATTTCCAGCATAGATGTTCTTTTTCTAAATAGCTTCACATTTGGCAGTGTTCCAACAGAATGAGAAGCTGACGATCCTAAGTGGCTGATAAAGGCTTACTACAGTTGCAGGAATGCTGATGGCCATATGTAAGTAATCTGTGTACATTCTGTGGACTGGCAAGAAAACACATCTTAAGTCTGAGTGATGTGCTTATGTGTATATATGTGTCTACACATCTTCAAATAGCAGAAACAAAACCATCTTGGGCCTTTAGTTTGAAGCACTCTGCTTCCCAGGTGATTCTGCTTCTGCTTTACTGCACCAGCTCCTCAGGGAACCTCAGTGTAGTGAGGAATAACACAGACTTCCCTCAGAAAGGACGATGAAGGGGAGCAGAACATACCACTCCAAAATATGCCTGTTTGGCATAAAGATTATCTTGTACGGATTATTTTTAAGAAACACACACCAGAAACGCTCTGAAAATCTAGTAGAAGTTACTCATTTGTAGGGGAAATTTACATTTATAAGAGAAGATTTTATTTATAAATGTGTTTCCTAATCTGTACCAGGAAGAGAAGGATGATTCAATCATAAACTCTTATCAATGGAGAAGATGCCCACCTTAAATCTGCATAACAACCTTACGCCGTTTACTCTGCTTTTCCTGATAGCCCCCATCACTGGCCTTCCCTCCTGCCCCCATCTTTCTTATGTCTTTAGCTGAGGAGGTATTTAAGCCGTTTGGGGGAGTTACTCAGTTTTCCTGGGTCTCGTGTATACAGGAGATATACATGCTATTAAACTTTGTTTTTTCTCTTGTTACTCTGTCTTTTATTACAGGGACCAAGATCCTAGAATGGATTTTTTCCTTTGTGACAGTTTGGAACCTGCTGAAATACCATACTTGTCCTGGAGCCTAGGGACGGGAACCTGGAAGACTGGCAGAAGCTGGCAAAGGGTAAGAATTCTTACCAAAGTCAGCTGTCTCAGATCTCTGTCTGTAGGGCCCAGTTGAGAGAGGAAGGGGAAATTTCCTTCCTTTCCAAATTTAGATTAACAGAAGAAAATATTTGTGTGAATCAGTTCCTTGGGTAT